ATCCATCCATCATCCATCCATCTAGCCATACATACATACATATATACATCCCACCATCCATCCATCCATCCATCCATCCATCCATCCATCTATCATCCATCCATCATCCATCCATCATCCATCCATCTTGTCCGTTCTTCTATCAGTTTATCATTTTTATTTAGTTGTTACACTTTATTTACTCATTATTTTTGTCAAATTGGAGAAAATATCATTAGTTTTCTATTTCTCTATAAAAACAGATGAATTTCTGAATGACGTGGATTTATTTTCAAACGCTAATAAAAAAAGAAATGAACATGCATTTAAGTTAAATACAGAAGTAGGTTGAAATGTATCAAATATTTAAAATGACTTCACTTGTGCTCTTCTTGGAGATCCTGAAACTCATCTGTCAGCTGCAGCTGGACCTCAACCAGAAGCTTACACCACTTCAATATGCTTTTATTCACTTCTTTTTTAAATTATTATATTTATATGTCCTTCAAGCACACATTTTTCATATTCACTCTTTTAACAAAACAACTATTCTGTCCTATGAATTTGTAAAAAATGAATACATTTGCCTTAAAATATTATAACTAATCCATTCACTTATAATTGTGATTAATTGAATTTTTACTATTTTGCAAAAGAATTAGAATAATTTGAGAAATCAGCACAATAATAGGGGATATTAGAAATATTTTCAAGTTAGAATCAAGATCTCTACAATTCCACGTGGATATGATTGTTGCACACTTAATAAAACATTAATAATCTTTATTTTTAATTTTCTGATTTGAAGCTCGTACCTTTGAGGTCCTGAGAAGGACAGTCGACGGGGAACTCGGCCTGCTCTGGGATCCCGTTCACCGTGAAATAAATGATTTTTGTTTCCATGTCAAGATGCTGATGTTGCCGTGTATCCTCCTGATCTGCATCTGGTCTGTCTCACCTCATTACTCCTCCTTTTAATCCACGCCTCCTCCGCTGCTCCTCCTTCCATAACTCTCTGTGGGACTACAGGTGAATGCATAAATATTTAGCAGCTTCAATCAGATCAATGTTATACAATTATATTTAAAACAAACTGATAATTGGCTTTTTTAATCTTTTTATGTCTCCATGTGAGTTCTTGTATCCATGTCATGTCCCGCTGTCCCACCTTTTGGCCCTTGTATGTCCCCATATATGCCTCCTTGATCTCTTCATGACTTGTTACGAGTCCTTTCGTCTTTTTCATGTCTCTTTATGCGTCTTTTATCTTTTCATTTCTCCCTTTAGGTCCTCTTTGACTTTTCATACCCCCTTGTGTATTCTTTTGGCCTCATTGCCTCATCAGGAGGAATTTTTGTCTTTTTTTTTGTCCCTTTTTGTTTTTATAATTTTTTTTCTGTGCATTTGTTCAGCTTTTTTGCATATTTTAGTTGTCCTCTTCAAAATCCTTCAACAAAAACTGAAATTTCTGCTATTTTTCAACTCGGATTGTTTAGTAAATTTCAGCAACATAATTTACTCAACATTCACACTACCTTTGCTACGATAAATTGTAGTTCTTCAAGTTTATATTATATATATCCCTATATTAGTTTGGAAAAAAAAGCCTTTGTAACAGTGATTTCTAATTTAATGTACAGTACTGTACTTGTCATTAACTTCTAAAAGCGTCAGTTTTATTTTAAACCAGAAGGGGACGCTAAAACATATGCATGTTGTAATACTCCGGCCGGCCTGCGGGGGCGCTGTAACAAACACGCTCCGTCACAAACAGCGCTTCCGTTCACGTTCTTCCGGTCGTTTTCACGTGTAGGGTCAGCAACGTGCAGCGAGAGGAGTCGGATCGTGAGGAATTTTTTTTGTTTAACTTTCAGATTCATGCGATAAATCTAGTAAAATGACTGAAGGTAAAACAGAATTGAAGCGAGCTAAAGAGCTGCTAGCTTTAAATCCGACGCAGGAGGCCGAGTTCAAGAAGAAAGTTCAAGAGGCGAAGAAGAAGAACAAATCTAAAAAGGTCCGCCATGACACACACGAGGTTTTTAATTTGTTTAATCAAATGTTAACGTGCATGTTTTGGTAAGCGCATATAGAAACCAGTGTTAATAGACAAAAACGACTTTAAATTCAAGCTATTTTTTTTTACAAGGTTAAAATCTGTGAGACTGTGTAGACAAGAAGTTGGACCGAACCTTTTGTTTCTGCTTTAAGAATCAAGGACTCGAATCAATGATTTCCAAAGTTAAGAAATTAAAAAATAAAAAATTCAACCGCATATTCAGTTAACCCTCCTGCTGCCCTTGGATCAAAACCACGAGGCCTAGTGTTAAAACAGTTCTTTACCCAAGGGCAGCAGGGGGCTAACTGTTGGGAAAAGGTAAAAAACTGGCTTAAATGAACAAACAAACATGAAACAATGAGTTATTTTCACATGATTTATTAGACTGTGTATAAACCTGCAGAGGGTGATATTAGTGGAGTCAAGCTGCTCTAAATGGACCTCTTCAGATGAAAGTGCCTGCAGTTCTTTGTGATGTGAACTTCTCGTGTTTTTGTGTTTCAGGACAGTCTTTTGACTCGAGGGGTGATTTACGTGGGCCACCTCCCTTTGGGTCTGTTCGAGCCGCAGCTCAGGTCTTACTTCGAGCAGTTCGGGACCGTCCTGCGGCTCCGGCTCTCCAGGAGCAAGAAGGTAGCCCAAAACGCTGAAGATTGTTATTTTTTATAATGTACAAGTGAAGATGTTCGTCTGCAACAAACCGTGGCTCACACTGAAAATGGCCTCAGGTGTTTCAGTGACCTGAGGTCAGATACGTGAGCCGAAATGATTCTGGGTCGTTGCGCTTATCGCCTGCCTCACCTGCTGGCAGAGGGATTAAACCCATGCCCCTACAAACACGTGAAGGAAAACTTGACTCAACCTGCAGAATCTGACGTGGAACAGCTTCTTGGATTGTTTCACGTGTTTTCAGCTGCTGTTTTCCTTTTCCGTGTTCTTATTTCTGACGTCCTTTCGTTGCAGACCGGTGGGAGCAAAGGTTACGCCTTCATAGAGTTCGAGTGCGATGAGGTCGCTAAAATTGTTGCAGAAACCATGAATAATTACCTCATGGGGGAGAGACTCATCAAGTGTGAGTGTTCCTAACGGTTTGCTCCACGACAACACCCCGTGTTTAGTTTTTATGGGATTTATGTTTAGAGTTTGTTGTTTTTGTTGGTTTCCAGGTCAGTTGATCCCGGCAGAGAAGGTCCACGAGAAGCTGTTTGTTGGATCCCAGAGAGAGTTCAAGAAGCCCACTTTCCCCGCGGTCTCACGCTACAATAGGAAGCGTTCTGCAGAGCAGGTCCAAACCTTGACAAAGAGGCTTTTACATAAAGAGTCGAAGCTCCGGAAGAAGCTGTCTGAGCAAGGAATCGACTACGACTTCCCAGGATTTGTACGCGTTTCAGATTTAAATCACAAACCGTTAAAACGTGCAGGATTAATTATGTTTTCTATTCTCATTTAAATCTGTAAACTTGAAACAAAGTTTTCCTGCTGCTTGATGCGTTTTATTTGAGATTTATTTTAATTTAGTGGCTGTTTGTTTCCTTCTCCAGTCGGCTCAGGTGCCTCAGAAGAAGTCGTCCTCTGCTGCCGTGAACGAGTCATCCTGCAGCAACGTAAGCCCACGTCCTGTTTTTGTCTGTGGTCCCAGGTCAGATAAGTGGAGGGCGCTAAACTTGTTAATGACATCTGGACCTGCATTCTGAAGTTGAGGACGTTTCATGTCCCATCTGGCAGTTTTCTCAAGCAGAATCACGAGAGCGTGGAGTTCAAAGCTGTAAACTGCATGAGATGCAGTTCTGAACTCGGATGCAGATCAGTCCCCTTCCCTCCCTCCTGAGGCTCTTTGTCAGTCTGAGGCTCTTTGTCAGTCTGGCTCACAGGGAGATGTTTAGGTCACCACCGGCATGGAGGTGCGAGTTAGAGTGGAACTGGCTGAGAACCACGTTTAGTGTTGGTGTGGCAGTTTTGGCTTAAATTTGGATTTTAAGATTCTAGTTTGTTGTAAATGCGCCCCCCCCCCCAAAAAAAATAAATAAATAAAAAAATCTGTCCTCTCCATCTAAAACATGGCCTGTTTGTCCTCAGCAGCGTGTCCTTGGTCCTTGAGGTGGACCTCTTGAGTTAAGTATTTATATATATATTAAGGCTTTTATAAACCCTTAACTCTTAAACCTACGTTATTGTAACAACATGTGAACAGTACTAAAGTACATGTAGCTACTAAATTTTACTCACCAGCTCTGCAGAACAGCAGCAGCTCGGTTCCGGTCCGACTCGCTTCTGTTTCTGCAGACCTACCCATGCGACCCACAATGTTCTAAACTCGTAAACCTACTCATTTTAACTGCACAGTACTGCAAAATTTTACTCAACAGCTCTGCAGAAACAGTGGCTCGGTTCCGGTCCGGCAGACCTACTCTGCCGGTTCTGTGTAGCCCTTGAGCACCGAAACACATTTTGGAGGGAACGGGACTTTCGGATGGCCAGCACGGGACCAGATTGATTCCAAATCTGGATGAAATAAAGTCCCGGTGGGCTCCAGAGAGACTGCTGGACCTACGGCGGCACCTCTCTGCTCTGAAGTCCTCGTGGACCGGCTAGCAGCTCAGATTCAGATGAGTCTGGCGGTCCAGTTCTGGGCTGGTTCCCAGTGGATTTCGTGCACCTCTCTCCATCTGCTGGGTGTCGAAGTCACTGTATTCCGATCAGATCAAAAATTTTCCTCTAGTATTTCAGCAGAAGGCAACAGGGCTTCTGAGCGGGGCCCTGTTGCCTTCTGGGTGTGTTGTAGAGTTCTGATGACAGTTTATTCCAGTGGGCGGTTCTGATTAGTGAGGGTCAGTTTTCTGTAAACCTCTTTCCGTGTCCACCAAACAGTCCAGCAGAGGTTGGTGTTTGGTGAACTTGACTGTTCCTCAGTTTGGATTCTGACCCGGGTGCCGTGCAGTTTTTAAAAGTATTTTAAATTGTGGAACTCCAAATGTCCTGTTTTAAAATCAGAACACGCCTCAGATGGGAAGCTCAACATTTAATTCGCCGTGTGCTGGATGACTCTGAACCTACACCACGGTCCGACGCTCGGTCCATAGAAGTCAAAAGTTTCAGATATTTGCAGGAAACTGTTGGATCAGGTCCAGTCAGAACCAGCTAATGATCTGTTCTGTCCTCTGCAGGACCCCACACCCGTCTGCACACCCTCCTACCTGGAGAGGAGGAAGGCCACGGCTGCGGACGACGAAGACGACGATGAAATCATCATCAACATGCCGGCGGTAGAGAAGGACGAGGACTGCTTTGTGGTTGAGGACAGCGATGAGGACGATGATTCGGAGAGCTCTGAGGAGGACACGGGGACACAGTGAACGTCCTCAGGGTTGGATTGTGGACTCTGTCAGAAGAGACTAAATTTGAACTGAATGTTCCTCGAGAACAGAACTTTGAATTCAACCTAGAGGCAGGAATCTCACGATGTCGCTGTACTCGTGATGTTTTTGTTCATGTCCAGCGTCTTCATCGTGAGTCCTTTTAAGGCTCTTTGACAAATTGTCCCCTGCAGCCTCGACGTTTCTTCAGCGTTTCAGCAAACCTGCTTAAAGACATTTCTGCTAATGTTAAACTTATTTTTAAATTAAGTTGTTAAGCGTTTTTTTTTTGCTCTCGCTCTGCAGTTTGTCAAGGAAACGTTTAGCAGAGAATTCATTCAGGAGCAGGTGGAAGAGAGTCTGGAGAGGTGCAGGCATGCTCTGCAGAGAGGGGGAGGGAAAGTCAGAAAAGGGGCGAGAATTGAACGAGAAGAATCCCTTGAAGTAACGCATGTCACCCGTTTCTCGTCATAAGGGATGGATTTACAGATGCTTGGCTAAAATTGATTAGCTGTGACAGCCATCTTGAATCAGGTTGACTCCAACCTGACTCGTCACCAGTGACTCCATAAGTTAATCTGTTGTTGACGCTTATCCAATAAACATTTTCTGAAATCCATCTTTTTTTATTTTTACCTGCTTGTCCTTTCCAGACTGCAGGGAGCTGGTGTCTCCAGCTGTTGCTGAGAGAGGCGGGGACACCTGGACGTCTAATGTCTCAGTTGACTAGTTCAGTCTTTTAATGGCTGAAATGTGATTGGAGCATGCTGGTGAAGATTCTCAGTCATCCAGGACATGATGAATTCAAAAAGCGTTCAATGCAAAAACATCTGGACTTTATTTGTAACAGAAGACGTTTCGCTCCGTGTCATTGAACGTGATTGTGATTGGAGCAGTTTCCAGACATGGGTTGGCGTGAACAAGTGTTTCCAGTCTGCATTGCTCGTTGCAATTTATAAAAGTAAAAATATATTTTTAAACTTGCTCAAATGATTGCTTGTTTTATTCTTTCACTTCTTGAGTTGTACACATCAGGATAGTAAACTAGCGGTAATCTGGTCTACCCCGTGAACAAAAATACAACAGTGTCATGAGATATTTTGCTAACAAACTGATGTTAGTGAATAATGGGTGGGAAATCACTCATCTAGAGCTACATCAAAATTGAGCAGATTATTGGTAAAATTGAATTTATAGCCATTTTCATGTTTTCTAAAGTTAGATTCGTTGAATGAGGTTGATTCCAAAAGTTAATCGATTATAGATGTTCTGCAGCCATTGATTACTTTCTGAAAGTTTCCGTCCTGTGGCTGATGAGATTTTTTGCTAACAGATTGGAGCGCATGAAAAGCACTATTATTAAACTGGGCGTCTCAGTAGTCACCGCACATGCGCAGACCGCCTATGACCAGCAGGGGTCGCCAGAGCCACGGGGTTTCCCGGCTTTCAGCCATGCGACAATTTTCCAAGTGCCAACATCATCCCTGGATTTACTGCGCATGCGCACGACGATCCCCATTCTTGTCCTTCAGGCAGCATTCCGGGTGGAGAGAGAGGCAGTGATAGAAAGACGGACAGGAGGGATTTCTGGGCCGCAGACGGAATATTTAAGTTTATGTAAAACCGAGCTACATGTCCGGACAGTCTGCGGCGGGAAATGGTGAGTGGAAACACGGAGGCTGGAGCCGAAGCTTCCCGTCTTCTTCTTCGCTCTTTGTGCCTCTGAATTTACGTTTTATTGGAATGTTTCGCTAGCTTTAGCTAATTCTTCTTATTTATACCCCCTGGCCTGGAAATGGCAGGCAGCCCGGTTTAGGGTTTAAACAAAGAAGTGGGATTCTCATTTTGTTTTTACATCCATAAAAAAACGGAACCAGGAACGGGGTTTGGTTCCTGTTGGAGTGTGGAAGCTGTCAGACCGCTGCTGCTAACTGGAGCTCAGCTAATCCTGCACAAAGCAGAGCTGGGCTCTTTCAGTGGGCTTCTTCCTCCAGGACATAACCCAGATTAAAACACCCTCAGCAGAGTTAAAACAGTTTCATCTCAGATGAACTGCGTCAGGATTTAGGTTACACTGTCTTTATTTATTTAAGGGAAAACTAAACCAAAATACAGAAGCAGAGATTGGTGTTTTTCCTGGACTTTAAAGGGAAAGTATCAATGATCAAATGTGTATAAACTGATCATCATCAGTGTGATCACCTGTATTAAAGTAAGAGTTTTTAGCTGCTTCAGCACACAGGTGTATTAATACAGTGCCAAGGCGGAACAACATCAGCAATGATTAGATGCATTTTAGCAGCACAGCTGAGGTTTGAAAGGAAGAAGCCTTTACCCATAATGCACAGCAGCAGGTGAGGAGACAACCACAGGATGTCAGCACGGTGGTGGAGGGCTGATGGTTCGGGCTTGCTTGACCATGAACTCCTCTGAAGACCAAAGGGTTTTGGAGTCCAAAGTGAGTCCATTTGTCCAACAGCTGAAGCTTGGACTAAACTGGATCCAAGAGGATAGTGATTCCAAACAGATCACCTAATCTACAAAAAAGTGGGTTTGACCGAAAAGAATTGAGGTGCTGCAACGGTCCAGTCAGAGTCCAGATTAGAGAGCTGAGCAGAAACCTCAATGAATCGAAGCAACTTTTCCACTCTCTGCTTTACTTTTGGTTCAGTTTTGCTAAACACGCAGCGTCATGGTGAAATAGGTCCTGTGTTGTTTATATCTGAGGTTTTAATGACTTTGTTTTAAAACCCGAAGGGCCAAATATTTGTGTGTCCTGATTTGACAACTTCTCAGTTTTCCCTCTTAGGACAATAAAATGTTTCAACACCGTTTCTGGATGTCTAGATGAGGTTTTACTTAAGTTCTCGTTCCTGTAGCTTTACGGTTCAGTTTGTTCAATCATTCCTTTTTAGTTCTCTTGTAATAAAAACACCTGAGGTTGTTTAATAAAGCCGCTTCATCTTCAGGTGACTGAACCAACAGCTGAAGCCTGGATGGTTCAGGTCTGACCTCCATATGAGGTTCTGGTAATTCAGCGTAATCCTCCGGGAAATTTAATTTTAGAGTCGCACTCTGGTTTTGTTGATTTGACAATATCTTAAACGCTGACTCAGCATTCACACTGTTGTGTTCCTGTTTGTAGTTTTTCACCTTTTTATACAGTGTAATTACTTCTGCAGACTCTGTTATTTTAGCCGTTCATACATCAAAATGTTCGGCTCATTCAGGAGACAACTGCTGTGACTTCTGGTTTTTATAGCATTTATACTTTTCAAAATATTTAACTTTATTTACTAATATTTTCATCATGGAAATGCATTAAAATATTTTCAGCTTCTTGAAAAACATTCTCTTTCATCTGATTTTATTCTGGTGCTATTTTCAGCTTTTTGCTCACATTTAGCTCCTTTTAGCTACTGTTGCTACTTCTTTGATAATTTTAGTTTTTAACTAATGGTTTGCTGCTTTTAGTTAATGCTTCAGCACTTTAAATATTTTAATTACTGTTTTCTTTTATTTTTAGCTTTTATTTAATCTTTTGCTAATTTTAACTTATAGCTACATTTATGCCCATTTTGCTTATTTTCTATTAGTTACTAATTTGCTACTTTTAGCTTGGCTAGTGCTCTGCTAATTTCAGCTTTTAGCTATTGTTTTTTTTTTTTTTGCTTATAGCTACAGATCTGCTGTTTTTAGTGAATGTGTTGCCACTTTTTATTTTTAAGCTCCTGTTCTGTTACTTTTGGCTGTTATTTAACCTTTTGCTACTTTAGTCTTTTAGCTACCGTTGTGTTGTTTTAGCTACCGTTTTGGCCATTGTTCTTAGCTACTGCATTGCTACTTTTCCCTTAGCTCCTGCTTTTCAAATTTTAGCTAATGTTTTGCTGCTTTTGATAAAGATTTATTTAAACTTTTTGTCTTGGCTTTTGTTCTGTTACCTTTTACTTTTCTTTAACACTTTTGCTAGATTTGACTTTTGGCTGTTTCTGGTACTTTTAGTTTGTAAGCAGTTATTTTGCTAGTTTTAGCTACTACACTCAATCAGCTGTGTCTGGTAACAACACGCACGTCTTCACGTTTTATCAGATAAGATGTGAACTCAGTCTTCTGCTCCTGCTGCCCTTGGGTCAAAATAACCGACGAAGCCTCGGTTCTAAAATGGCTGGGTCACTTTGAGCCTAGGGCAGCAGGAGGTTAAGCAATGAGTTCAACCAAAGGTCTGAGACGTTTTAAGTAAACAACAGGACTGTTTGTGGAAATCTGATAAAAACTAACCCATTTTAGATATTTGAAATAAAACTTTTAACTAAAAACATGTTCTTCGATAATACTTGGGTAAGAAAACCAGAATATATATATTTTATTTCAATTATTCAACCTTTATTTATGCTGGTTAGTCTCTTGTACTGGTTTGACCCGTTTCTGTTGTGTTTTCTCTCATTCAGGACAACTCCGGACAGATGCAGGAACACGACATGAAGCCTTAAGCTAACCCTCTCCATCCATCTCCATTTGCTGCCTTGCTCATCAGAACCAGCACCCCCGCCCCTCGGCTGTGGTTTTGGCTCACAGTCCTCCGAGGGAAGAAGAAGGAAAATAGCCGAAGTAGGAGGGAGTTGTAAACTTTCCCCAGCTGCCGTCCAGACACACACATGCTGCATTGCTGCCATTCCCTAACCCCTGCTGCGTCTTTCCTGAGGGCCACTCGCTCACAAGCCCGCTAACAGTTGGCACAGAAAGCGGGCCGGTTCTGAAGAAGAGCGGTGCACGCTGGCCTCTTCCTCTAGCCTCACGGGTCGGAAGTTAACCTCTCGCTGGTTGCACTTAGAGCTGTAATCACCCTCACTTCACCGCAGACAGGCGGAGGAAACCGACGGGGCTGGACATCGGAGGTTGATGGAGCCCAGCATGGAGAACTGCCTGGCCCAGGTTCTGCAGAAGGACGTGGGCCGACGGCTGCAGGTGGGCCAAGAGGTCATCGATTACATCCTGGACAAGGAGAAGTCCCACGACCTGGAGCAGGACCAGACGGCGCTGGACAAGATGGTGGATGGCATCGCCAGCTCCTGGGTCAACTCCAGCAACTTCAAGGTAAATTCAACCCGATAGAAACAAAGTGGGCGGAGCTTTAATGTTTCTGCTGTCGGTGCGACGGGGAAATGTTTTCCTGCTTTCACGCGTTCTGTCTTTAATCTGTAATCAATAATCAATCTGCTCGACACGGAACAATTAGAGGATTCTAGCTGGAAACTTTCTGTGGGGATATGTGAGAATTTGTGAGGAAAAACCAGTAAATAGACTTTATTAGATTTATGGAATTTATTATAAATGAAGGTCTACTTATCCATCCATTTTCTTTACCTGCTTCTGTCCAAGTCACATGGAGCTGGTGTCTGTCTCCACCAATCACTGTGAGAGGCAGGGGACACCTGGACAGGTCTCAAGTTTTAACTATTGTTGGAAAATTTTATTTAATTTTAAAGCAATCTGATTTCAGTTCTGTACCATGAAATGAGAGATGCCTCATCCTAAAAACATGATAAACCATGTCACCTGGACATGCAGGGACAGGTGGGACATGTAGAAATGTGGGACACGATCGAGACAGATGGGACATGCAGGGACAGGTGGGTCATGTAGAAACATGAGATACAATTGAGAAAGATGGGACATGCAGGGACAGGTAGGGACAGGT